GTACCCATGACGCCGACGCAGGTCTTTGGGCGATGTCCGATCGCCGAACGTGATTTGATGTGGACGGCGCGGCCTGACTTGTGGTTGTCGTCAGCACGGACGTCTGCTGGGGTGACTCGCGCTGACGCGGCGCGAGTGACGGAGCGCATGGCACGGCTGTGCGAGATGTCGGATTACGCCCCGTTGGACGCCAGCAGCGTGGGGGCGCACTTGGAGATGTTTCGGAGCGGCGGCCATGACGACTTGGAATGACACATCGGGATGGTGTACGCCCTCGAGCACCTTTGGGTGGCGGAGGCGCACCCATTGAAGTTCACGGCCTTCAAGGAGCGCATGAAGACCCAGTACCCTGGATGGGTCGTGGACGTGGGGTTGATTGCGGTTACGTTTGTACAAGAAATGTTTAACCTCTATGAGTTGCCTCGGGCATCCTCCGAGATCCTCGCGATGCCAGACATGAGTTTCCATGCGTTCATGGCATCCCTCCGCGTAAGTAAATCGCCTGTATTGCGATCCCTACGATTGAAGACGAGTTGGACCTCCTTTCGACCTTGACGGTGGATGAGCCTGTTCTGCCGTCCCCTGTGAAATCCCAGACGTGGGATTTCCTACGGTCCAACCCCTACTACGACCTCCTTCGTGAGTACGAGGACGTCTTCCTCAACGAAGTACCCTGCAGCCTGCCCGTCGACAAAGGCGTGCGGCACGAGATTGATTTGGTTCGGGGAGCCAAGTACTGTGTTACGCAGCAGTGGCTGCTCCCTCGCGAACAAGTCGAAGCAATCGACTCGTTCTTCGCGGCGCGCAAGAGCGCCGGACATGTCCGCGAGAGCACATCGTCACACAGCAGCTCGACCTTCTGTCTGTAGAAGCCCAATGACAAGTGGCGTATTTTACACGCCTTCAACAAACTGAATGCCGCAGCAATCCCTGCGCAGACGCCGATTCCGCGCAAGGATGTGATTGTCGGCAGCATGAGCGGGTCGACGATCTTTTCAACCATTGACCTGCGTGATGGTTTCTACCAAATTTTGATGCGCGAGAGTGACATCCAGAAGACCGCTGTCTCCACTCCCAGTGGCATGCTCTGGGAATGGCTTGTTATGCCACAAGGCCTCTCCAACGCCTCTGCAACGTTCAATCGCAAGGTCACGAATAAGTTTCGAGCGATGCACTCCTTCGCTCCTTCCTACTTCGACGACATCTACATTCAGTCGCGGCACCGCGACTGCCCCCGATCGTGACGTCCTCCGCGCGAATGGCTTTTACGCCAACTTTTCGAAGTGTCTCTTCGGTGTCGACGAGATCCCTGTTCTTGGTGACCTCGTCGGCATTCGTGGTTGTCGGGCGGACCCGACAAAGTCAAGGCTATCGTGGACTGGCCGACGCCAACTTGTGTCAACGAACTGCGTCGTTGGCTCGGCCCTGCCGCTTACCTGTACAAATTTTCTTTCTGCTTTAAATTTTAAAAATTAAAAGTACTCGGCGAACTTTGCCGACATCGCCCAGCCGCTCTTTCGCTTGCTGGTCAAAGACGCCCCTTGGGTGTGGGAGGCGTCCTGTGAAGAAGTCTTCAAAGCACTGAAGTCGAGCTTGCAAAGCGCCCCGATCTTGGCGCTGCCCGAATTCGATCGACCCTTCACCGTCGTTTGCGATGCGTCTAAGTTCGCAATCAGTTGCTGCCTGATTCAGCCGGACAATGACGGACACTTCAGTCCTGTTTATTACCAAAGCCGCCAACTCCATGCGGCTGAATGGTCGTACCCTGTTCACGACCTCGAACTGTTGTGTCGATGAAGTATGCCGTCACAAAGTTTCGAGTCTACCTGCAAGGCTCCAAACCTTTCATCGTTTTCACTGACCATGCGTCGTTGCGCACAACCGTCAACTCACCGCATTTGCCGAGTTCAACTTCACGGTCCAGTACAAGCCCGGCAAAGAAACGTGCTCGCGGACACCCTCTCAAGGCGCCCGGATTTGGAAACACCGATGATCCTAGCCGCAGTCGGACTGATCCACTCCGACCTCCACGATCGCATCCCTGCTTTGTTCGCCTTTGACACAGCATGCTCGTCCATCCTGTCGGCCCTCACTGCGCCGCAACCGTCGAAACCGCGCCGTTCTTTGCCTTTGGCCTCGCGGTATACCGTCGACAACGGTTTGATCATGTTCAAGTCTACGTCGGTTTCGATCCCGCGTATCGTCATTCCTGGTGACGCGCAGATGCGCACGAATTTGTTGCGCACCTACCACGACTCTCCCTTTGGCCGCGACGCGATATACGCGGCTCTGTCTCGTTCATACTGGTGGCCTCGACAGTACATAGCCGTCGCACGATACGTTGCAAACTGTGATGCGTGCCAACGCACCAAGACCACGACGCCATCAAGGGCTCCGCTGCAGCCCTTGCCCATTCCCGATGAATTGTGGTCGTCGGTGAGCATGGATATCATGTTTGGGCTGCCGCGCAACGCCCGCGGCAACACCGGCATCATGGTTTGTGTCGACCGCGCGTCCAAGTACGTGGTCGCGGTGCCCGCGAAGGACACCATCAGCGGCTCTGATGCCGCTCGTCTCTTCTTTGACCACGTCTGTTGTAGTTTTGGTCTGCCGCGGTCCATCGTTTCCGACCGCGACCCTGGTTTCATTCGAAGTTCTGGACGACGCTTTACTCTCTTTGCGACGTCCACCTCGCAATGTCAACCTCCGACCACCCTGAGTCGGACGGTCAGACTGAACGCGCCAACCGCGTTCTCGAAGGCATCCTTCGAACGTACTTTGTCGCATCGTCCACGACGTGGAGCACCCTGCTTCCCTACGCCGTGTTTGCCTATAACGCCTCGGTTCAGGCGTCCACGGGCTTCTCGCCTCACTACGCAGTTCACATGCAGCATCCTCGGCTGCCTCAACTCCTCGGTGGCTCTCCGCTAAGTGTGGGAGGAGACACTGTCACCAGCGTCAAACACTCCATCGATGATGCCGCCGTCCGCCCAGTGCGGACGACGCAAGACATCAAGTCCTTTTTGGTCCATCGCACCTCGGTGTTGTGACAAATTCAAGACAACTTGGTCGCCGCCCAGTCCTAGCAAGCGGCCCAAGCAAATGCATGCGGTCGCTCCAACCTAGCGATCTTCGAAATCGGCGATCAAATGCTGCTGCATAAGTCCGCCGTGCCCTCCCATGCGTTCTGCGAACGCAATGGCAATTAAGCGCCAACCCGAAGTTGCGTGGCGCTTGGGTCGGAGCCTTTGCCGTCGAACAAGTCGTAAGTCCGACGAACTACTCACTCAACCTACCCGACGACTGGCACGTACACAAGACATTTTACGTGGGAAAACTCTACAGGTATTTATTACTAGTACCAAACACCTCTTCTACCAACGATGATGCAACGATGGAAGCCGCTCGCTCGCGTCCCGCGGCTCCTCTTCTTCATCGTCCTCCTCTTGGCCGACGAAGTTCGGCAACGGCGCCGGAGCGGGATAGTACACCGAATAGGGATCCTCCTGTACTTCAAAGTACCGCGCCACCTTCCGACTTGCCGATCGGGCGCCCATTCAGACGACTGTCCGTCTTCCCACTCGCGGTCTTCCGACCGCCGCGCAGGAGCCCAACCGACTCGTCGACGTTCGGTGGACGCAGTCAGGTCGTCGATTTGCCCTGCGTGACGGCGCAACTACAAGATGGATATCAGACGATGAAGCAAAGGCGAACTTACCTCATGATTGCGCCGGCATGCTGCGCGCGTAGTGATCCGTGCGACCACAGCGCCTTCAAGACGATGGTACTTCGCGTGTCGGTTCATCGCGAAGTTATTCAGCGCATGGCCAACTCCGTTATCGTCGTCGGCCACTTCCCGTGCCGACCACCCCGTCCTCGTCACACCAACGCGGAGACGAAACCGCTGATGTGCTCCAACATCGTTTCGTCTCCTCGCCGCGCAATCAACCTCACGTCCACGACCCATCCAGGGTACTGGGTCTTCATGCGCTCCTTGAAGGCCGTGAACTTCAATGGGTGCGCCTCCGCCACCCAAATGTGCTCGAGGGCGTACACAATCCCGATGTGCCATTTCAAATCGTCATGGCCGCCGCTCCGAAGCATCTCCAAGTGCGCCTCCACGCGCCTGGCGTCCAACGGGGCGTAATCCGAAATCTCGCGCAGCCGTGCCATGCACTCCGTCACTCGCACCGCGTCAGCGCGAGTCATCCCAGCAAACGTCCGCGCTGACGACAACCACAAGTCAGGCCGCGCCGTCCACATCACGTTCGGCGGCCGGACGGCGCCCAAAGACCTACATCGGCGTCATGGGTACGCTCGGGAGCTCATCCCCCTACATTGTCAACGGCGTTTGAGAATACATCCAAGACTCGGAACACATACCTCTCCGTCTTCAACGCAGTCGGCCGCCGCCTCGATTTCCGAAACGACTCTGTTGGTCGCTTCGATGGCCGCTCTTTGTTCCGCGGCCACCAGACCTGTGGCCGCCTCCGCCTGCCGCAACGCTTCCTTCGCGGCTTGCACTCTCGCCGCCGCTTCCGCCGCTTCGCGAGCCGCCTTCTCCAGCTCTGCGGCCAACGCACGCTCGGCTACCTCTTTCTGCTCGGCTGCCTTCGCCTTGCGTTCTTGGATGAGCCGCTCCAACTTTTCTACGCCAAGTTCCAGGGCGGCTTAGTCAGCTATACTCCGAGCCGCCAGCCGGCTCAACTCCGTACAGCGAAGCGCTCTACCTTCTCGACGAAGTTTGGCGCCGTCCACGTCCCCGCCATCGCCGCGTTCGGATTGTCCGGCGCGATCGCGTCTTCATTGTCGCTCGTCCGATCGATGTTTTCTGTCTCGTCCGTGGTCGCCCCTCGACAATCGCAGACTTCACGTCCTCAAGAGCCGCGGCCGTCTCAGCCGCAGCTGCGTTCCTACTTGTCGCGCTTCTGCCATGAATGAAGATTCCAAATTGTCAACAACCCGTTGGTCGCGCATCCCACCGTTGTGACGGACGACCTTCTCTGTTAGTTGAGCGACCCCTTTCGCTCAGCAAATTCTGCGGTCCAAAGTATGGGAGGGTGTAACCGTGTTACACTATCCGGACACATCCGGTTTTCTCTTTCTAACCAACTACGATTGGTTTTCGTGGCTTAGGTGTAGCGTTAGGTAGGATTAACACTACCAATTCATTCTCCATTCTACCAAGCAAAGCGCATCCTTCTCTGTGCCCGCTTACAATAGCACTGTTCTTATGCAACGCTTTGGCACATGCCACGAAGAAACTCATGGGTGAACACCAAAAACTGCTCCCAACGACGTACGTCAACTCCTTAGAACGGCATCTAACACCTTTATGAGCTCAAGAGAACTTGTTGAGCACGCTCGCCAACTACTGCCAATGCCCAGCACCTGCAGTTCGTCAAGGCCATTGCCTTACCAATGCTCAGTGTGCTACACATAAAACTGAGCGCGCCGCGTGAGTCCGTGAGAGAGTAACATGGGATATATCCAAGTGGTGGCCTCAGGTCCTCTTTAATGACGAAAAAGGTTCAATCCTGAAGAGCCTGATGACCTTGAATTTCTCTGGTACGATCTACGCAAGGAGAAGGCAATTTCTTCGATAAGGCAGTGTGGTGGCAGAAGTGTTATGGTCTGGGGTGCTTTTAGTGTCAAAAGAAACACTAAACCGGCCATCTTGGAGGGACACCAGAACAGTGCGTCTACAAGGAGGCGTCGTCAAAATATTCGTTTTCTTATGTGGACTACAACTTTGAGCGCGACTGTAGCTTTCAGCATGATAACGCGTCCATCCATACCGCCAAGGAGACCAACGTCTTCTTGCACAAGCAAATTTACCCGTCATGAAGTGGCCGTAGAAGTCTCCAGACCTGAAATCAATTGAAAATTTGTGGGGCGTGCAAACCCGTGCTGTTTATGTGCAGTTCAAGGGCGCAATATTCAAGAAGGATGTGCTCAAAAACGCAATTTTGAAGGCCTTGGACAATATCGGTCAAGACCACATCGACTAGCTTGTACAGTTCTATGCAGAAGCAATGCGTATTTGTCTTGGAGCTCAAGGGTGGTAAAACGAAGCAGTAATATGAATTGGAGGGGCTCATTGATATTTTTCTTCATAATTGCCATGGTGGTCTAATATTTTTTGCCATCGCATAATTCAAAATCCTGAGATAAAAAATCCTTTCGTGCATGAAATTGAGCGAGTTGCATGCTGCTTGCTTTCCGCCCCACCTATAGTCACAACGTCGTTAACATTGACATGCTCCTGACGTCCAGAATCATATCAATTCAACCAAGCACAACACAGCCAAACATAGCGTTATATTTCATGTGCGGCACGAGGGACTTGAAGCTGGTCTGTGCCTTAGATTTCTGAAACTATGAGGAATTTTATGAATTTGACCATATATTGAGAATGCCATTCTGCGAGAGATATTCACGTATATTTACCCCTTTACGAAACATTTATGAAACAAACTCTTCAAACTCTATATTATGCCGTCACATTCAAAAAGACAGTGCTCGACACAACAATGTGTGATTGACTCGAGGAGCTTTTGCTTCTTTTGCATACCGCTCGATTTTCCCGAGGACATCGCGGTTGTCCACGGCTAGGAAACACCCCTGGGCCACCAAAGTTAAGACCATTTCAATCAGCATGGCCACGATCACGCCACTAGCGGTACTGCGGCGAGAAAGCCCAGCAGCACCGCCCGAGTTGCGGGGGCGAATGTCGGCGGCTCCATGACACGAATCGGCCCACAACAGTCGACGGGCCGCTTCGACTCGAGTTGTCAACGCTTTCCAAATTTGCATCGGCTTCATTGTTGTCGTCAACCGAATCGGCGGGACACTTCAACGACACTTTGGTCGTGATGGCCAAATGACCCGCTTTCTCCTTGGCACATCGTCTGACTTGCTTGTAGACTTGGTCATCTTTGCGCCCTTCAACAAACCGCAGGGCGGACGGCAAGAACCCCCACCGCTTCCGCATTCCGCTCATTCGCATCTTGCTTCCCGCGACGCTGACGCGGAACCCTCGAAACTCGCCGCCATCGGCATTCCCCACGCTGAACTCATCACAGTTAACGACGCGTTGGACGACAAGTTGTTTGCTACGCCGGCGAATTTGGACGAAAGCATGATTGAAGAGCTGCTGCACACGTTCGAGTCGCAGCTCACAATTATATTTACTTCGTCGATCATTGCGACTAATCGTCTGTGCCGTCTGCTGCAGCTCTTCTCGTCGGAGCTGCAGTAATCCGCATCACGTCATGAAATGTTGATGACGTTATGATGCATAGGCGTGCGGGGGTACTCCAGTGGTCTTACTCAAAAGCAGCGATCGCAACTCGTCCAGCAATGCAAGAAATGTGCGATCAAGGTCGTGGTGTGCTCGGATGCCATGGCCCGCGGTATGGACATTGCCCACGTCTGCAACGTCATCAACTTCGTAGTCCCTCCGTACCTCATGAAGACCCTCTTGCCTCGGTACTACCGCGTCGACGTCCACCACCACAACAAAAGCGCCAACGTCGACTGCGTCGGCCACCACGACCTCTGCACCAGCGACGACCTCGCTGGCACCGACCTCGACGACCACCACCTCCGCACAAGCGACGACCACGCTCGCTGCGACAACGACCCCGCTTCCCACCCCGTGGTCATTATCGAGCCAAAACTAACTACAACTGGGATGGGATTTACACTGGAGAGCGTTGCAAAGATGCAACGTATGGATTTCCATCATCACCTGCAGGAAGCGTGTCAATTTGCAGAGGCGATGGTTATTCATCTGTTGGCAAGCGTTGCCCACTCAAGGGGGGTATCCCTGTGGTTGGCTGTGGTCCCGGGATCCCCTCGTTGAATGCAATAACCAAACTTGTAGGGGTCCTCCTCCTCGTTTTATCTATTGCTTCTTGATTAGGTCGTACATGGAGTGATAGCTCATATCCACGATGCGTCTCTTGCCAGCGTCAGCTGCGTTGGTCGTTCCAAGGAGGCGGTGGCACAAGGCAGCCAAGCAGTCGCAAAACAATTTGTTGCGACCAGGTATGTCCATGGCCACGAT